CATGTTTCAGGGTTTTAAAATTAAAATAGATTTATATACTGTTCCAATTAAACATAATACATGTATTACTATAACGTCATTTTTAGTTATCTTGCTGCATATGAATAGGAATAGGCCTTACTTAAAAAAACTGAAGGCTATGTATTAATGTCCTATGAAACAGGTAAATCGGTCGGAACGTGATGCTGTTGACTGATTGGCAATTCTGTATTCGATTGCCCCAAAAGAAGATATCAGAACATTTTTCATCGTTTACAATGAACATACTTGTGTACGCCTGACTCCGCTCCCGGTCGCTGTTGGCGGATGTAAATAGCCCTACCTCTATGTAAAACGTGTGCAGAATTTCAGTTAACAGATAGAAGTGGACGAACTATGAGGTATTTTTATATTTTAAGCATGTGAAATCACTGCTACTCATAACCAGCACCGGTTTTTACCACATAATCACAGTTGTCCAAGTGAATTATTTAACTCTCTAAGCATGTTAAGCACCTATAAAAATATATAACTTGCATGCTGAAAATGAGGATTGTGGGAAACAAGACCATAATCAATGTACTTGACAAAAATTCTCAGTTGTATCAATTCGTATGTTTTGTTAATTTTTAAGATATTTTTGAAATACAGATCCTCATTTCCCGACAAAGAAGTATAAACATTACCGCGAAATTTAAATGTATACATTACCGCGACATTATATTCAGTACATCAACATTTATACATATACATTACTTCGATATTTACATGCAAATGTATATATTACCGCGACAATGCCTATTCTGTTAGGCAGCGTATTATCGTCTTTTACAGGTAATATGTAAATGAATAAGACCTGTTCCCCTGCTCATCAAGGGAAGATGAAAGTATGACTTTGAGTAGGATATACATGTATTTCTATCACTTTATCATCAAAATTTTAGTTTTTAAAATCCAGAAATTCTGACTAGAAAAGAAACGCCGGGTAACATAGTATGCTCTAATTATTTAATTGCATGGCTGAAAATTATGAAAATGGTCAGAAGATTATTTATTCACTGTTCACCGAATCTTCTTCTTAATCCGATATATGCCATCTGGTGCTTGGTGCGACCACAAGAGATCTCCACCTGGCTCTACCTGCAGCTACTCGAGACCCTGTCTCCATGATCAGATCTCTAGCTGATCTTAGGGTTTTTGAGAACGGTTCGGTCGCCCGCGTTGCGCAGTGGTGAGAGCGTCTGCTCTAGAGTCGTGGAGTAAGGAGTTGATCCTTACGTAGCGGGTTCGAATCCCACTGTGGGACGTGGAGACCGGTCCTTCGGATGAGACCGTATAAACCGAGGTCCCGCGTGTCGCAGTAGGTGCTGGCACGAAAAAGATCCTTCACTGCTCAATGGCCCTAAGTGCCGAGCATAGGTAAAAAATTTGCAGCTCTCCACCGGCAAGTGGTGGCGTCATCATATGAGTGAAAAATTCTCGAGAGGGACCTTAAACAACAAACAAACAAAGAGAACGGTTCGAATCCAGGTTTTCTTTGGTCCTTCTCTGTTCCCTTCTCCTTGGGTGTCATGGAAAAGCGACTCTGGGCAGCGAGTTAGGGACTTGAGTAGAAAGGAAAAAACCATCACCAGCGGTTTGTTTGGATGGTCTGCGATATTGTTGGCATGTCATTTCTATTCAGCATTTCTTCGTTGAAGAAACTCTAAGCACTAATGTCAGGCGGTATCGGTGGATCTGGTAGGTTCAGATTCTTCTCGAAATGCTCTCTCCATCTCTCCGGAGTTGTCATTTCCACTTGTAATTACAGAAGTTTATATCTCCTTGTGATTTCTCCACGTCCTTATCTTTCTCTCTGTAGAGGTGGGTTCCCTTTCTTTCAATTTTGGTGACTTGGCATCTAGGAGGTTTTTCTTTAGTTGTTTCATCTCTTTTATGATAGTCCATGTGTCTTTAGTTAACCATTCTGTTCTAGCAGGTATTTGTAACGTTCGACTTATGCAGCAGCATTCATGGCCAGACGGAATTCGTTGATACTGATAGTGTCTCGTCTTGGAGTGTGCTGTATCGGTTCCCGAGCGTGAGTTTTAATTCTCTGACACTTGGGTCCTTGAGTTAAGTGAAATCGAATTGGTTCCGCTTCCTAATCCCAGTCTTATTGGCCTTTCTCAGCTTAAGACTAATATTTGCTTTTACAAGATTGTGGTCACTTCTGATATCGGTATGGCTCATTTTCGCACGTCCTGTAGAGAGTTACTCTACTTACTATGAACCATAATCTGATCTATCTGGGTTTTTTTTTTTGGTGTTTCCATCTGTTGATTTATAAGCCAGTTTGTAGTTGATTTATGGGCAAAAAGAATGCCACCTGTGACAAAGTCATTTTCTTTGCACATTTTGATGAGCCTTTCATCATTGTCTGCAAGGTAGCTGATTGCATGTTGACCCATCGCTCTCTTGTTGTGGCTACTCTATCCAATTCTTGCAATGAAATCGCCCATCAGTAGTGTGACATCATGCTTTGGATTATCATCAGGTACTGCCTGTAGAGAGGTGTAGAACTTGTCTTTTGCGTCTTCTTCTGCATTTTCAATTGGTGCAAAGGCACTCACAATGGAGACCTTTGTGTACGTTGAGTTAAGTCTGACATACAGTAGAAGTTAATTGATAGATTTCCACTGAAGGAAGGTATTGGCAAACTTGTGGCCTCCCTTATTGTGGTTGTTATCACTTCGCCCTGACCATGTAATGGCGTACTCTGAGTTAAGTCTCTGTTTTCCTGTTCTGTTCACCTAGATTTAAATTTATTCATGGCTAGCAGGGATAAGTTGGATCTTTCATGTCACTTACAGCTTGTGCTAGTCTTCCGGTTGGGTATAGCGTTAGAACATTCCAAAATTCCAACACCTAATTCAATTCGGATGTGATGTTTTGGTATCAGGAGATCTGCTATCGGTTTTAACTGTCATTATTTCAGATGTGTATACCTGACCTGTTTTACTACATCTACAAATTGGACTATTGTTCCTTGAAGTCGTTTCCATAGCAGATATGGGTTTTACTAGGTAAAGGGTTGCTGGCCCTACACGCTCAACCCTCCTCCTTTCTCATCTGGACTTAGGACCGGTAATGGCTAAATTGTGCACCAAAATCGGTGGCCAGAATTACTCAGCCATAAAAATGTGCGTCACCTAGGGAAAGTGATAAAAAAAAAAAAAAAAACCAAACAAAAACAAAACAAAACAAAAAATCACGTGCAGAATGATGATGACGGGTTAGTGAATACATTTTGTCATCCCACTTGATACGCTGGAGGTATAAACATCGTTTTTCGTTGTTTATAGTCATTTTGATTTTCTTAGCATTATAATACATTCAGAGGAGTCGAAGTATTGCATTTATAGAAAGTAGAAAGACAACAAAAGGTTGTTGTACAGTTCTTTGTGAATGTTTCCACCATAGAACGTCTAGTCCGCCGTCTGAGAGGAAGCGGAAGGGTTACTGACCGACCACATTATTTAGCCAGGGTTATTCTTCTTATCACACTTGCGTAATCGCCACCACGTTACCACCACTGAAACCGCAGTTAATACAGTAGGCAATCATAATTGTCACATTCATCCAAGAATCGGAAGAAACCAAGTGCGCGAGTTAATTATGAAAGCTCTTCAATCCTACGTTGGTGTTCTTCTCAATCAAGAACGTGCGCGACGTCTGGTTTACCTGTTGTTTTGTCATTGGCAGATTAAGGATACTCAAAATAAAACTCAAAACGATTTCTAATCGTATCTAATTTTCAATCTTACACACTATCATTCTAGGGAGTATTTCCTGTAAAACATTATAAAATCAAGAATTAATAATGTAAAAAGTGAAACAAATGAACATTTACAACAACAGTTAAGATTTTAAATAAACAAATTTGTTTCTTTCAACTTTTATACATGTTATCAATAAGGCATTATAGTATCGAAACAATAAAAATAACGCATATTTTCCTCCTTGTTCACTCCGCTCCTGCAGCCGAGGATAATTATTCTTTGTCAGAGTCAGTAGGAAAGTACGCTTTCGATACAGTTATAAAAATTGAATTACATGTATCTACATTGTTATAACCATAAATGCCCTAACAAAAATGCTATAGTAAACTATAGTTTATTATAGTTAACTATAATTAGCTATAGTGATAACTTTGAAACTTTGAAAACTAAAGTTAATTAAAGTGATAACTTTGACACTTTGATTTATTATAGTGATAACTTTGAAAACTTTGATTTTCTATAACCACCACTCATATGCTTTATATCGTTGAATATAAGATGATGTCTCTATACATCTTTTTGGTTGTACTTAATAAAATTATATAAATGAAAGACAGACATTATGATTTATTCATTTTAGAAATGTTTAGCCAGTAGGTGTCATCGAGAAAATTAGGTTTCCAAAAGTATCATAACTAAAAATAAAATTTAAAATAAAGTGTGTTGCAAGCAAAGTGCATGAAATTATTGGCAATACAAAATATCAACAGATATCTTTGGTAAAGTGAGAAAATTTGCAAAACTGGATAATACCTATGATGTGAAATCAAATGAAACTTCTATCACAGAACTTTATATACTATATTAATAAATTTGAAACTTTGAATTACTATAGTTATCACTTCTAAAACTGACCACAGTTACAAGTTTGATACTGATTTATTATAGTGATAATTTTGACACTTCGCTTAACGACAGTGATAGTAATTACATTGAAAGCTTTGATTTACTTTACTATAGTATTCTTTTGTTAGGACGATGGAAGGATGTTACAATATAGTATTCAGTAAAAAAAGAACTGTCCAAATTTATATGGAGCTTTTGTTGAATTATGCTTTATCTTTCCGCTCATCAGTTTCAACTAAATGAACAGAGCGAATGTGTGTAACTAGAATATATAAAGAATATTCATTTAATATAAGCATACCTGAATGTCAACTTCTAATCAGGCGTGTAGTTACAAGTCATTTCATTTTCAGGATATTGTAGAATGGGGAAGTTAAAAACCTTCTACATTGAGCTTGAAAATTCCAAAGGGGTATTCCTTGCAGGACAAACCATAAATGGGAAACTTGTTATTGAACTGAATGCAGAGATGAAAATGAGAGGTAAGGTAGTAATTCTAGATTTTTTCTCTAATTAAAAAAATGTTGATATTTCCTTTACGTTGCAAAATATTAAAAGACTTAATTTATTATTGAAAAACTGCAAAAGATGATTTTTACAAAGGACAAATGCAAGTTCTTTGAAAAGGCTCTTGGCAAAGGAGATGCTTACAATAATTGTTTCTTCTATCTATATATCATTGTAATAAGATATCTTGAATATTTTTATTTTAAATCCATTAAAATTTAAAAGAATGTTTCACCTATCTATATGTCATAATATATATGTTAATGAAATTTTGTCAGATTGGATTAGTAGTAAGTGCTTTAGAAATACCTGGATAATAAAGAGTCCTCTTAGAAAATTAAAAAGCAATATCCGAACCATCAATTCTTCCGATTACGCTAAATTGGAAGTGATAAAAAAAATTAGGAAGACTACATGAACAAAATAAAATGGTTTCAGCAGACAAGGCTTTAAACAATATCGTCTTTATTTTAAAGGCTCATTATTATAACTGTATTTTACTTAGAAGAACTTCGTTTTCATTCTACATCTGGAAATTCAACTTATACCCAAAGTTCATCTTCTTAGGATGAAATCCTTCAAAATCCCATTTCAGTGTTTAATATTTTTAACATTCCAGTCAACCAAGGTGAGTTCGATCTGCCCAACCTATACTGGATTCCTAAAATTCAAAAATCATTACAAAAAGAGATGCATTGCAGGGTCCAGCAAATGCTCTACCAAGCCCCTATCTGTATTCCTTACAAAAATATTAACTGCTGTAAAGGAGAAACCTCAGGTGTACTGTGCTTCAGCATATTCTAGAAGTGGTGTAAATCAGATGTGGATTCTCAGAATTACAAAAAAAAACTTTAGAAAAGTTAAAATCGCATTTTTTTTTTCAAAAGTCAGTAACACCAAAACGTACGACTTTTTTAAACACCTTGTACAATCATTCCTCACGATAAATTAAAAACTAGGCTTTTTGATATCTTAGACAACTGCTTCTTCAATACAAATGAAAGTCGGAAATTTTCGTATCTTGTGATTGGTTATCAACAAAATTACTTTGTTAAAAATCACTCTGATTCAAGTACTCAGAGGTTGTTATTAGAAGGATGTTTGATTTCGTCATTGACAATATTTATGTAGTCTTTGGAGACCAGGTCTTCCAAAAACTGTTGGAATATCGATGGACACTAATTGTGCTTCTTTATTAGCCGTCCTGTTTTTTATTCCTTTGAAGAAGAATTTATTCAAAAACCTCTACATAAAAAGAAGAAAAAACTTGCCAAGGGCTTCAACTCGACATTCAGAGATATCGTCGACGTTTTATGAATTAACAGTAGTTACTTCCATTCATATGTCAACTCGATATATCCCAGCGAACTTGAAATAAAAGACACCACAGAGTCTTCCATATCTATATCATATTTGGATGATTTACTGACTATAGACGATATGTGCCAACTGACAACTAAACTATATGACAAACGAAATTGACTTCAATTTTTCCATTTTCTACTGACAACTAAATTGTATGACAAAGGAGATTGACTTCAACTTTCCTTATATATGTAGTGATATTCCGCTATCACCTGCATGTGGTGTTTACATATCCCAACTTATTCGATATTCAAGAGCATGCTCTGAGTATGATCAATTTGTAAACCGAGGCATGCTACTGACAGATGCGTTGATGTTATAGGGATTTCAACAACCTCGATTAAAGTCAGCATTTGTTTTTAGATTTTGTTTTCACTGTTCGCTATCTCCATTTTCAAATATAAATTCCTATGTAGTCCGTTTTTATTGCTTGTATATAGGGTTTTATATATATATATATATATATATATATATATATATATATATATATATATATATATATATATATATATATATATAATATTTTATTGAAGGTATTTATAGAATTCTATATATATTTATATATCCTTTTGAGAAAAAAATTGTAAAAATGCAAAATTTTAACATAAATTGGAAACAATTTTGGATGATTGCAAATCATCATTTAGATGATTCATAAATAAGTGAAATCTTTATACCAAGTTTTACATTTTGAGATTTTGATCCATGCATGCTCATTTGTTAAAATCTATATATCATATCTATATCATATTGTTTTAGAAATAAGGTGTACATTCAAAGGACTAGCTTATGTGCATTGGTCAGAATCAGAAACAACTGGAACAGGAAGTAATAGAAGGACGGAAACCATAGATTACACTGCATCTGAGAACTACTTCAACCAGACCGTGCCTGTGTTTGGAAGAGGTAGTTCGGAAGTCTAAAAGTTATTTTTGAACTTTACTGTTTGTTGTTTATGTTTTGAGTTTTACATATTTGTTCAATGCGTATTAATAATATTTTGCTATGCATTTATATATATATATATATATATATATATATATATATATATATATATATATATATATATATATATATATATATATATATATATATATATATATATATATTAAATTGATTGGTATGTTGTATTGAAAGGGATGGGGGGGGGGGGGAGTTAGGTCCTGTGATTTAGTTTCAAGCCCCTCTTCGATTTCAATGGCAAGAAAACCTAACTTTCAGGATTCTTTTGTTTGTTTTTTTTTTTTCGTTTAAGAAATTTTAGAAAGTATTTTTATTAACAAAAATCAATAAGGAAATTCTCCATAAAATTGTTTTAAATGTGTACATTACAATTAAAGTAATGGAATTTAGTGCATGCCCAGGGGATTGGTGTTCAATAACCAAATATTCGCAAGCTTGTTGATTGATCAGGAGAATGGTTTGGTCTAAGTCCGTACTTAAGGATTTATGGACTCGTTTTGGACCAAGATTACATACTTGATGCGTCTGTGTATTTTTTATCTTTTATTTTATTTATTTTTTTTTTTGGCTGCAGTTATTTAAGATATAAATTTGTTTCTTACTAGCATGGAGAAGTCAGTTGTGGGTTATCACTTTTGATCGATCAGTAAAAAATTGGGAAATGTTTTGTATACTTAGACAAATGCGATACCTTTTACTGTATTTGTTAAGCACTGGAGTTGCATACCTTGGGCTCAGATTCAAACAGTACCCTTTGCATTGCAGATACAAATGTATAACCTATATTTAAGGTTTAAAATGACACCCCAGTTGAACAAATTTGCATGGATCATTTTCTAAACATATATACCACCAGTCGTGCCTAATTTGCTGTACTTCACGTATATTTTCTGGTTTGCGTATGTACATGTAATTTTTGGAGCAAGTCCGATCCATTCTTTTCTTGCTGTAGAAATTCTCAACACAGTTTTGTAATAAAAATTGATACTTCAATTGTCATGTAAAATAAGTAAAGAATTTTTTTAAAAAGATGTATGACAATTTCTGTCTTGCTCTTTATAATAACTTAGAATATGTTTAATTTTTCATAGGGATGGGGATGGGTGACAAAAACTGTTTGCCCCCGGGACAGCACGTATATCCCTTCTCCTTCCAGCTGCCCCCGAATCTCCCGTCGTCATTTGAGGGTGGAATTGGATACGTCAGATACACTATCAAAGGAACCATTGACAAACCTTGGAAGTTTGACCATACCACGAAAAGACCTTTCACTGTTATTGCATCGTTAGATTTGAACTCACAACCAACTGCAGCTGTAGGAATTGTTTTTTGTTGTTATATTTCCTGTAACTTAGATGTTTTATCAGGTTTAATCTTAAGAGCACGGGAATACAGCATTGGATTCAAGGAGGAATGCTACGCCAAAATTATATTTAATGGATATCTAAGAAATCTCTTTTGAAATATGATTTCAGCAAGGAAAGTTTGATATTAGCTCTTTATTATTTTATACGATTTTTTGTATTTTTTCCCTTAAAGAAAATGTAAAAATTATTTTATTTGCAAATAAGGTGCTTTTTTTCGTTATTTCCCGATCATGACAAGGAGCACACGGCGGGTGTGACCGGTCGGCAGGGGATGCTCATTCCTCCATGGCACCTGATCCCACCTCTGATGTTTTGGAGGTCCGTGTTTGCTCTGCTCCCATTTTGTATTGTTTAATGGACTTTTGAGCTTGAATACTGTTCGAAATCTCCATATATTTCATTGGAGCTTAAAATTTGCCATTTATGAATGCATAATATAAATATCTAATAAAACACGTCAAGAAGAATCAGAATCAGGCATTTTATTTATTTATTTATTTATTATTATTATTATTATTTTTATTTTTTTTTTTTGAATAAAAAAAATCATTTATAAAAAAGAATAATTTCTTAACAGTTTTTATTTCCACGGATAAAATCTTTAAGAAACAGTTCATAAATAAGAAAGATATGATACTCAATCATATTTTGAAAAGAAATTGAAATGAAATTGTTGAAACATTGGGAAAATTGAAAAATTTCAAATTTAACCGATCAAGATAAATGCAACATTCATTATTTTCAAAATACTGCATGCCTCATGCAGTTTGTACAGAGAAATTCATATGATTGATAAGTTCAATTTTTTTAAAAACATATCACACAAAAAGAACCCATTAATCTTGTGAAATTGTTATAAAGGTGTACTTCCATCTTGTATAATTCAAGTTCGGACCGATTTAATTTTGATTGGGATTAGTTAAAATTTGAAAATTAGCATTTTTTTTTTTTACATTTCCGAATTTCAATTTCCGAATGAAATACAATTGCTGATATTTTTTTTTTTTTTTTTTTTTTTTATAGCAACTTGTTTCTTGGAGATTTTATTAGTGATAGATTTTGAAAAAATAGACAATTTATAAAAATTTTTATTCACAAATTATATTTTATATAAAAAGTTTAAAAGTCTATCTGACTCTACTTGACAAGATTTATTAGATATTTATACTGTTCATTTATTAACAAACAACGTAAACTCTAAAGCATCTTATTTGCAAAAAAAAAAAAAAAAAAAAAAAAAAAAACTAATGTTAAATTTTCTTTGAAAAAAATACAAAACAAAGTAATATAAAACAATGAAAAACATATCTTTCCGTGCTGAAACCACTCTTTCAAAAGAGATGTCTGAAAGATCTATTAAATAAATTTTTGATGTTGCATTCCACCTTAAAATGAAAATTTTATTCAAATATTTTTTTAACTTTACTTTTATTTTTATTTATGTATATTTATTTTTTAAATAAATGGAAATTCAACTGAATGTTTTTGTCTAAAACACTTGTGCAGCGTTCGGAACAAAACCAAAACAGTAAATACCTGTGTTGTTTGTGCTGTAAGTCTGGACCAATAACGGGGATGTTAAAACTGGACAGACTGGGGTATGTTCCTGGTGAAGCAATAGCCTTCAATGCGGAAGTACAAAACATGACCAACAGAGTCTGTGGAATTCATGCCAAGCTATACATGGTGAGTAAAGTACTTTACAGCATGTATTAAAGTAATTTACAGCAGGGTATGTGGCACTCATGTCAAGTTAAACGTGGTAAGTAAAAATAATTTACAGCATTGAAGCAAACTGATTCCTTTTATCCTTATTTATTTTTTTTCATTTGTTTATCTGTCATTGATTTCACTGGAAGCTCTTTTCTGCAATTTATTTTTGAAATTTCATGCTTTAATATTGAAACACACGAAGTCAATACTACAATATACTGGTCTTCAATTTGGGAGAAAAAAGATACCCGGGGGCTGGAAATGATCTTCTTATAAACTCCAGAACATGCAAAATTTAGAGCTTGTATAGGTTTCAAGATGCATCCACTGACAAAATCTAGTCATCCTAAACCTCATAGTGATTTAGTTTGGTATAATGTACTTTAATATCACGGCAAATTTAAAAAAAAATCAAAATAAATTTATCCTACTAAAGTTGGCCTACGTTTTGGCTGCACAAACCTTTATTACAAGCTTCACCGACTGATAGAACTTGATAATTGTAGATACAAGAAATGTCTTTTTAAATCGACTAAATATAACCAAATATTCCAAATAGGGCCACTTTGACCTACCAGGGGTATTTAGGTTGTCACACAGGGTCTTTAGACCGCAAGATGCATCAATTAATGTTCGATGATCCTTGGATTCGTGGTAAAAAATATCTACCCAAAGAGGTTTGAAAATGATTAGATCACTGTGAACTTCTTTTTTTGCTTGTCACACTCCAAGGTCCCAAAATGCATCAACAAACAAGGATTGATGGTTATATACTGTAGCAACCAACAAGGTTTGGTGATCCTTAATGTCATAGTGTTAGAGATGCCTATCTTAAAAGATTTGATAATGCTCTCTGACAAATTTTATAAAAATAAGCTAAGAGGTGGTCTCAAGATATGCCCCCACTCCCAAAAGTTTATGCATACCACACACATGGCCATTAGAATTAGATCTTCAGCCTTTGACTCAGAAGAGATAATCTTAAAAAAAAATTAAAAAAAACAATGTCGCACACTTGTTAAAACAAAAAAAAAAACTTTTCTATGTGTTCTTTACTATTGAGAAGTGGTGGAAAGAAAAAATTGCACATGATCGGATGACGATTATTAAAGTTTAGGGAAATTTCAAGTTTGAATAAAATCAATTGGTTTTCATTAGGATCTAAAATTAGTCAAAGTTTAAGCTTCATAAGACTTTCACATTTTTTTTTGAAGCTTTGCATTTTAATACTTTTCTTTTTGTTTCTGTTTATAATGTTCAGTTTAACAAATTTTATTGCATTTCGTAAATGTCAACTTACACTTTTGATCTTTATTTCATTATCGTCCACTTTTTTAGACCACTTTGTTTCGTACTCTTAAAAAATCAAAAACTACAACTTCCGAGGTAGCGAAAGTAGTCTACCAGGACGTACAGCCTGGAGAAACAGAAATCTGGTCAGGTGGCAGACTCGTTATACCCCCATTACCTCCATCATTTCTGGAGGGATGCAGGATTATCGACCTTAATTACTACTTTGAGGTATGAATCAATTACTACTTTGAGGCATAAATCAATGGTTTTCCGTATAAAGTAATCATACGTAGTGTTCTGAGAGGAACAATTGTATATATGATAGCGATTAACCAAGACTTTACTTTCAATCATTTATTTAAATTTTCGAAATTTAAGAACTGTAATTATAGATATTGATAGTTCAAAATTAGTTAAAATTTGTTCCCATTTTCTAAAACAACCATATAATTTACATTTTGAAGAAAGTTGACTTCTACCCTAGGTGTGAATGGTTGCTTTTTTGGGAAAAGAATCATTTTCAAGTATACTTATTGTACTGCATTGATTTGCCGCATGGATGATGCATTTTGTGTGCTTCATTGTGCCATTCATGCAGGTTTTAGATTCTGCATTTTCATTCAGATTTCCAAAAAATTACCAGGTTAATGTTTCTGAGCAGTTAAAGTTTTTGGAGCAACTTAAAATTTTTTGAGCAGGTCTCGTATTCAAGTAACTATGAGCCTTATATCGACAAGAACTAGCAAGGATGTGAATCTAAGGATGGAAACTATTACGCATGCTTCGGATGCTGACATACATTTTCCAGATAAATGAACAGTTTTTGGAGCACATCGATTCTTTATAACTGTAAGCCCTTCTTAGACCAAACTTGCATGAATGGTGCATTTAGGGATGCACTTCCATACTTATTTTAATCCTTGACCTGAACTTCGTTTTCCGGGTCCTTCCTGGACCAAACTTGCATTGACGATGCATCTAGGGATGAAAACTATTAGACTTGCTTCGGATGATGGATATGACTCTTTTTCCTGATGATTGAACACGTTAAAGTTTTCAAAACAGATTTATATATAAGTTTAATTTAAGCCCTTTGGTGACCAAAATTGCTTGGATGATGTATTTTGGGATGCACATTAAATAGATGCAACATCTATGCAATTTTGTTCTGTGTAGGATTTATACATGAAGTTACTTTGGAATGAACCTGCTCAAGAAACCTTAACTGTACAATCTCCCGGAAAATGTATAAGTCAGATCCAGCATACAAAGCATGTCTGGTAATGTCCATCCCTATATACGTCGGCAATACAAGTTTAGACACCAAAGGGCTTATAGTAACTTGGGAATAGACCTGCTCAAAAAACTGAAGCCTATTCGATCATCCAGATCAGCAGAACAGGATTTTTTTTCTACTGCAGGCAACAAGGTCATTTTGTCAGAGATAAGCAACCCCGGTTTCAACAAGTCACATTACCACACAACAATTTAATTCCGCAGAGAATCTTGTGAAATTGATCAGTTTGAGTATGATGGTATTATTGATCATATCTATGAATATGTATTATTCTATTAAAAGTTTAGAAAAATTGAAGATATGACCGAGAATGGACTTTTCATTTTGTGCAATGATGATTTGTTTCAGATGAAAGTGCTGCAGTTATACCACCAAAATACGATTTTAAAAAGTTTCAAAGCTGGTGTCATGTCAAAATAGTTCCTATGTTATTTTTCTTTGTGACAAAATTGAAAGTGGTGTTTCAGAATCAGCGAATTCATCAGTTTTTTTCAGTAGTGTTTCCTTGATATCCATTGTAGTTATAATCCGTGAGATAAAAAGTCAATTTATATGCTAAGTCTATGGAGGTCAAATTAATATTAACGCAATTATTTGAAGATTCCTTTAATTATTTGAAGGAATAATTAATTCTGATATTGCGCACATCACTTATTGCACTCATTAATTGAGTTGAAGCACGCATCAAATGAATGAATGCGTGCATCAATTGAATTGATGCACGCATCTAATGAATGGATCACTAAAGTATAATTGCTTTATATTCGGACGAACAAAGTAAGGAATTCTTCTTAGGTCATTTCCTTATGAATCTTGTGTCAGCTCGTCACGTGTTCAGGTCATATAAATAATAAGTCTATTCTATCGCTGGCTAAACTTTGAAGTTTAAGGGCTAAAATTTCAACTTTAAGGGAGTGTTATTGTATGCTATGTAATATGAGTAATTTTATACAAATGTCGTTATATTTTGTTTGAATAAATGGTTATGATAATAAATTAATGCTTCAGCAAGCAGCATTCTAAGAAAATTTCTGTTGTTACCATCAAAGTATAAATGCTTAATATTCGATTTTAAAAACGAAGGGAGGATAAAATGCCTTTTTCGTTAGTTAATACAAGTATTTACAGATACCCGCCTAGGAAATAAAGAAGAAAGTATTCAATGGAAATAGAAATAATAATGTTACAACCTCTAGCAAATGTGATACACATAATCATGCATTAAACGCAGTGAATAAAATTTAAATGTAGATTCCTTATTTTACGCGAGTACTTAATATCGCGAAATGGCCCAAGGGCGTCAAATCGCGAGAACAATAATTCGCGAATGGGTAATTTATCTAGAGATTTTATATACATTAAAGCACCATAAAAATAAAAGCGAGTAATTTTATTTCGCGAGTAGTGCTTCTTGCGTAATTACGCGATAATTAATTCCTCGCGTATATTTAGGAATCTACAGTAGTGCAATGATATTTGGTATTTTTTTTATGTTTTACTAAATAGTTGATTGTTGATCCCTCTGGGCCTGCCATAGACCTTCACGTGCCTTTGTTGGTCATCATTGGTACGATACCTCTTCAGACGGTAGTTCAGCAGTACCAAACACAGTATGGAGTCCCAGCTACTGAGCAGCCAACATTACCTCCCTCTGACACAGCGACCTCTGATCCCCCAATGGTGGGAGCAGCTCCTATGTCTTTGCGTGAGTAAAATGGATGATGTAACAGATCAGTGCATATTTTAAATTTCTATTTTAAAAAAAGATTAATGCGCCTGAATAAACATCAATCATATCTGATAAAATAATGCACTTACATGCAAAAAGAAAAAAAAAATAATGGACTTGCTGACGTTTATTAAGTGATCATTGTGCTAACTCAGTCTCTTGACCTAAAACTTCTTGGAAAAAAACTTTCACGATTACGCATTTGATCAGAAAACATTATATCCATGTACGAATTCCGGTCGTCCAAAAATTTTTTTTCCAAAAGATATTTCCGTCAAACACAGCAGATGCTAGACATTTGACTTGACTGTTTGGGTTAATGATATTTGATGAACGTTCAAGGTCATAGGAGTCACTCATGTGACCTTAATTACCATCTGATGTTGTCCGTCTCATGTCGGTCATAAACTTTTGTACATTTCAATAGCATTAATTCAGAATTGTGGTAAAAGATTGTGTACTCATGTAAATCATGCAAACAATTTGCCTGTTTAATGTCCACGAGAAGGTGGTTTCTGAAGATTACATGATTTTGATGCTTTTGGACCCAGTTATCAGCCCCCAAAAGAGCTGGATGCTATGAAATTCAAATTTTTTTTGTTTTCCTTTACCCACACCCCTGGGTCAAAGGTTCAGGCACTAAGACGAGGCTTATTTGGTTATATATTTAAATCTTACTATATCTTTGAAAAGCTTCTCTACCAATGGACATAAAAAAAAGACAAATTGTGCACAATGTTTTAATAAAAACAATCCTCCCTCGACCTAAATTCACTGTGAAATTCTGTGAAATTCAGAAATTCAAGGCCCTAAAACCATGGTTCAGGCCTTAGGGTGTGAATAAATTGATCATTATTGAAAATACATTACAACTTTTAAGGTTCAACTTACAACGTTCTTCTTCACTCATGGACATCTGATTGACAAGCAGGTCTCAAGACCATAAACTAAGAATAGACTTAAGTCAAAATTTCAGATTTGAATAACTTTTGAAATATTTTTGAAAAAAAAACAAAATTTTACCATGATTTGAATATTATACAAATCTGCAACTTTTTAAGCAATTTTGTTAAATAAATTTTAGGATATTCAAAATCTAAATTTTGACTAAAGTCTGTTCTTAGTTTATGATCTTGGAGCCAGATGATTCATAAATGGTTACAATGAATGAATAACTCTGAATTTCATTCCTCTGTGTCCAGAGTTCAGGTCCAAGAGTGGTGAAAGCAATGGGCATTATTTGAAAATGCATACATGTAACATGTACCTTTGACAATCATTTTTTTACTCCCGGATATCTAGAAGATAAACTGTTTACATGATTTTAGTTAACACTTACCCGTCTACGAAAATAGTGAAATTCACGCCCCCCTGGTCCATGGTTCGCTACTAAGGATGTGTTAACGAATTTGATCATTTATTTTATAAAATTGTTATATAAAATTGCATTACCAACTTGATAAACTTTTTTACTCGTGGACATGTATAAGACAAACTGTTTGCATGATTACAATTTGTACCTAACCCTTTACCAAAATTATAAAAATGGATCCTTCCTTGGCCCATGGACAGCAATTAGGCCCCGAGGTGAGGCTAAGTTGGTCTAATATTGAAAGACATCAAATCTTTGAAAATTTTCTCATTTACTTATGGACTTCTGGCTTACAGAATGTTTGCTTGAATAAACACGATACCTTCTATCAAAATTTGGGTTAAGACTTTACTGGTTCCCAGATCCGATAGATCCGCGTGTTGTTTGCACTATGACGTTAGATTTACGTCACTAGCCTATTGAGAGTTAGGCCACCACACAACTCGACTGATTAGGGTTATAGCCTTCCACCTACCTGAGAGATTAGAAATAGTTATCGCACAAATAGTCAACTGGATAAGGATAAGTCTCGCAACGATCCGAGAGACAAGGGTTAGATCTCGCACACCATTTGACTGGTAAGGGTAAGTCTCGCACCCACCCGAGAGATTAGGGTTAGTATATTTTTATTAGAGATAACTATTGATATAGGCACTAAGCATGCATGGGGTTGACTGAGTTTGTCATATTTTGAGAGTAAATTACATCTCTTAAAATGCACTTCTATACTCAAGGACTTGTAGCAGGAAAATATTGTTTGCCTGATTATATAATGACCAGCTAGTTCTCTAGACTCTAGTCTTATACGACAAGACCAGTTTCAGGCCCAAAATGGTCATATCCTGAGAAACTCGTGATATTCAGATGACCCCCAATGCCCATGGGCCTTTTGTCTTTTTTACAGCACCACCAACCTACAGTGAGTGTGTATTTGGTAAAACCAACATCCGAGAAGAAGGCGACTCCGAGTACACAAGGGGAGAGATGAACTTCGCCCCAGCATACGTATATTATCATGACTTGTCTAAACAACCGCAGTTTAATTAACTCTTTAATGGAAAAATGTATCCTTTTTACAAACATACACTGACTTATTAATCATCAAAATGTGTTCTTTTCCTTAAATTAATTTGTATACCATTACATGTTTTCCCTGAAAAGAAAACCTCATTATTTCTCTTCAAGCTATTGTTACATGTGTTAAAGCGTTTCATTCTACGTATTCTGATCTGTTACTGACATGGGATACTCAAAAAATTGTTAGAGAAATTTGTAAAACAGCTTTTAAAGGTATAAAATAAATGCTGAAAGACGTTTTTATCACGAAATTTCATTAATATAACTAGCCGTATTTTCTGGATCTCCCAAATTCTTCTCTTTTATATCATCTCTAAAATTCAATTCAAAACATGAAATAAAAAAAAATCCTTCCAAAAATTAATATAAATTTGCTCAAATTTAACCAAACACAAATTAACTAGATCTGAAGTCAACAAAATATACGATGCTATGATGAAAACCCCCCATTCCCAGATTTGGGGTATCCTATACCTCAATGAAATTAAATAAACATAAAAGTTTTTTTTTTACATGTTTGGTGTTTTCTTAATATGTAACCCTTTCATGACTTCATTATTCATTATAAGAAGGAACTCTTTTCTTTCCTGATAGTGTTTTCACGTTGTTAACTTTTAACAATTGTTATTGGGTAATCTGTGTACTACTAATTCATATCACATGTAAACGAAGCATAATTCTGTTTAACATGAATTCATAAAAGTTGAGCAACCAACTAATGATAAATAAAATTCATGACTATATAACATGTTTAATTTGTGTCAAATATGTTTTTTTCTGGCTGGCCTCTCCACTTCCAGAATCGATGCTAAATGTCTGACATGTAATGGTTATGTAACGCATTACTTCCAAAATCCATATACATGTATATACGTATATGAAATTTAAAAAATAGTATGACATCATCTTTTGTTCTTTTAATACTTTCTATTTTCTGAAAGGCCCAAGACAGTCCAACAAGTTATCTAACTGTCCAATAAGTTTTTAAAAACCCGTCCATTATTAAAAATAATGGACAGTATTTAATAACTTATTGGACGACTACAGGTAGGTTATTGGATTAAAAAACACACACAACAGACAAAAATAAATATTCTTAACCAATGAATCCAACATGTTTTACAATGTACTCAATGAAATATATATTTCAAGTCAGAGAAACAAAAACTGAAACTATTGTTCCAATGAAATGTAAATTCCAACTAACAATGAATGTCAAAACTCAAATTTGAAGGAAATATCTTCGAATTCTATTGGAATGAAACATGCATCAACCACACACTCTGGGATATCACTTCTCCTTTTTAATGCCTTCATCGCAAAAACCGATCGCTCCTTCTTCTTTCTCACTAGTACCCTTAATAATTTTGCTCACTTTCTGCAGGAGTACATCGTTTCTACTATTATAGGAATGCAAGGGTGTTTGGTCAATAGTCTTCGCCCGATTTGTTTCTGACTTCAGCGACCAAAAACCTAATAATTTTGTTGATTTCTTTATCGCCCGTCATCGTGACGTCCTTAAGCATGAACACATCAACATTGGGTACTGTTTAACATTTCCTAACAACTAAAGTAAACTATAGTTTACTATAAATAACTATAGTAAATCAAAGTTTCAAAGTTAACACTAATGACTACAGTAAATCAAAGTTTTCAAAGTTATCACAATAGTATCAAAGTGATCACAATAGTGTCATAGTTATCACTATAGTAAATCAAAAATTTCAAAGTTATCACTAATATTAAATCTAAGTTTTCAAAGTTATCACTATAGAAAATCAAAGTGTCAAAGTTATCACTAACATTAAATCTTAGTTTTCAAAGTTATCACTGTAGAAAATCAAAGTGTCAAAGTTATCAATAATAATAAATCCAAGTTTTCAAAGTTATCACTGTAGAAAATCAAAGTGTCAAAGTTATCACTAATATTAAATCTTAGTTTTCAAAGTTATCACTATAGAAAATCAAAGTGTCAAAGTTATCACTAATATTAAATCTTAGTTTTCAAAGTTATCACTGTAGAAAATCAAAGTGTCAAAGTTATAACTAATATTAAATCTTAGTTTTCAAAGTTATCACTGTAGAAAATCAAAGTGTCAAAGTTATCACTAATATTAAATCTTAGTTTTCAAAGTTATCACTGTAGAAAATCAAAGTGTCAAAGTTATCACTAATATTAAATCTTAGTTTTCAAAGTTATCACTGTAGAAAATCAAAGTGTCAAAGTTATCAATAATAGTAAATCCAAGTTTTCAAAGTTATCACTATAGAAAATCAAAGTGTCAAAGTTATCACTAATATTAAATCTTAGTTTTCAAAGTTATCACTGTAGAAAATCAAAGTGTCAAAGTTATCACTAATATTAAATCTTAGTTTTCAAAGTTATCACTATAGAAAATCAAAGTGTCAAAGTTATCACTAATATTAAATCTAAATTTTCAAAGTTATCACTATAGAAAATCAAAGTGTCAAAGTTATCACTAATATTAAATCTTAGTTTTCAAAGTTATCACTATAGAAAATCAAAGTGTCAAAGTTATCAATAATAGTAAATCCAAGTTTTCAAAGTTATCACTATAGAAAATCAAAGTGTCAAAGTTATCACTATAGAAAATCAAAGTGTCAAAGTTATCAAAGTGTCAAAGTTATCACTATAGAAAATCAAAGTGTCAAAGTTATCACTATGGTAAATCATAGTTAAAGATTAATCACAACTATATATAATGATAAAAGTCTCAGTTCATTTCACAACGTAGGTATTTACCAGTTTTACAGATTTTCTCATTTTACCGAAGTTATCTGTTGATGTCTTGTATTTCAAATAATTCCATGCACGTATGCGTGCAGTACATTTAATTTCAAATTTTATTTTTAGTGATACTTTTTGAAACCTTATGTTTTTCATTAACTGCTGCTGGCTAAACATTTCTAAAATGAATATTGTTTGTCTTTTATTTTACTTGGTCTTTTTTATATTAGTAAATCACTTTATATTAATAAAATTAAGTTAACCAAACAAGATATATACAGAGTTATAATCTTATATATACAACGATATAATGTACACAAGAGTAATAACCATAGTAGGTCAAAGTTTTCATAGTGGTCACTATAGTATTTCAAAGTGTCAAAGTTAGTTTACTTTAGTATTTTTAAGGGTTTTTCTCTGTCAGTTAAGGACATACGCAACGTAGTTTTAATTTTATTGTCTTTTTCCCTGGAGTTGAAGAGTTTCAATACTTATAGGAACTGTTTGCTACATTTTAATGTCTATATATGGTGCTGTACACTTCTTCTAAAACAAGTTTTGGTTAACAAAACATCTAGAATATATGTTTAGTAATTTTTCTATATTTTATTTTGAATTATACTAAAATTTTCATCAGTTGATATCTGTTCAAAACCCCGGGTAATGCATGCTGATTTTTTGTCTACAAACATCTGATGGCACTATAATCTTTAATTAAGAATATCTTGGAAAATTATCAGTAGGTAAGGTACGTTGCGTATGTCCTTAAAGAACACAGTCACTGCCCAGTTACATCTGAGATAAGTCTCTTCTAAATCATCTAAAAATTATTGATTTAATTATGGAATCTTTCTACGTTCCATTTGTTTTTTCTGCTTTCTTGAATTTTGCCTTGAAAACAAGTTAAGAAATATTTGATTTCAAAGTTCATTATCTTGACAATCTTAAGCTCAAAATCCAAAATATCACTTGAGAATGACATCTGTATTATTACAAGAGTACTCATCTGAATTTGTTTTGCATCCGAAATATGCTTTCTCCCCCGGAAGAGACATGCTTTCAACGTCCACAATGACAAGGAAATGGTATTCGAATTTCATGCCTTTTGTTTAAATATTCTTTATTCAGTTACTTAAAAATAGCCCTTACCTGTAACTGTTCACGAAGTTAACAATTACAATGATTGTAAGTTTCTTTTGATTGTAAACAATCTTTACCTGAGACAGTCCAATAAGTAGACAATGCCTACTTAATTCAATGGATGAGAAACAATTTTAAGAGAGTTCATTATAAACACAATAGAGTAAATGTTTCAAGCAGTATATATGCCTCAAACTGTCCATTCTGTAAGAAAAATGAACTACTGTCGGGCATAACGGCCCTCCAACAGTTTTTTTTCTTCTCACAAAATGAACAAGTTTTGGCCTATAACCTTTACATACGAGTACATAGTTAATTTACTTGTTTTCGTTTGTATTATGTACTTTATATGTATAAGAACATTCAACAAGTAAAGTGAGCTACATGTATTAATAATCATGTATCTGCTTGTATTTAGAACGTTTCTATCGAAAGTTTGGACTTTCAGCTGTTGCTGACAAACAGATGACGTAAGCTTTTAACCTTTTGATTGTAAAATGTTTGCACAAACTAAATTTCTGAAATTTACCTGATTTTCCAATGTGCATTAATGCATTCACTTTGAGACATTATTTTTAGTACTTTAACATGGGTGTATATTATTCAGAGTGGCGCAATTGTCTAGGCACTGTATATCTTATTAGCTTCTGAGCGAAAGGCTCAGAGAGTTTATGCTATGGTCATTTGTGTGGTGTGTACGAACATTTTGGAATGTGGCCCATACTTCAAAAACTTCAATGTCAGTCCTCATTACATATGTCACAAATATCATTCGGCCAAAGTTTTTCATTTAAAATGTAACGAGGATGTATTACTTTTAAAAAAAAGGATGTATTAATTTTAAAAAAAAAAAAAGTCAGTTCAAAAATGGCCTCAAATAATATTTTTTTGTTAAAATAATCGGTAAGAAGTATGATCATGAAATCTTGTCAGTGCTACATTTTAAGACCTTGGAATATGTCGACCCGAAAGTAGATCACATGAATATGGCAGGGTATATTGTGTTTGTCACATCTCATCCACCGTTTTTTTGTCCTGTAGTCTGTTCGTCCGCCACACTTTGTGTCTAGCACGGTAAATAAACTTTTAAGATAATTTTATCAAACATCATACAGTGATACATATTAGTGAAATGAAAAAGGTAAAGATAACGAACAGTGATCGATCTAAAAAAAAAAAATCCACAAACAATACAGATCTGTGAAGAGGGCATAAAACACGGACCCCCGGAAATTCCAGAGGTGGGTTCGGGTGCCTAGGAGGAGTAAGCATCCCCAGTCGACCAGTCACACCCGTCGTGAGCCCTAAGTATTGACCAGAAAGACGGAACATTCCGCAGTCAAATTTCGTACAAAAAACAAAGGCCTCACAATTGTATCAAAAACTTCAGCCAAAATACGACGCAGTGGTTAACACGGTCATTATAACGACCGAGGAATTTACGAAATGCTGACTTTAAACGAGATTGCTGAAATCCCTGTAACATCAAATTATCTATCAGTAGCCTGCCTCGGTTTAAAAGTTGATCGTACTCAAAGCATACTCTTCAGTATCGAATAAGTTGGGAGACGTAGATCCTATATGCCGCTGATAGTGGAGTATTACCACTTGAATAAGGAAGACTGAAATCATTTTGTTTGACATACAATTTAGTTGTTCATTGGCCCTTATCGTCTAGATCTATAGTCAGTAAAACATCCAAATATGAAAAAGATATATCAGACTCTTTGGTGTCTTTTATTTCGAGTACACTGATATATATTGAGTCAACATATCAACGGAAAGAACTATTGTTAATTGATAAAACGTCGTCAATATATCGAAATGTCGAGTTCAAGGCTATAGCAAGTGTTTCTAGAGGGTTTT